TTATATTATTGATAACATTTGTTGTAAAGAATTGACCAGAAAAAAAACTTAAAACTATATTTTCTGGTATTGATATGAAAATCAAAAAAATTGTTTTCCATTTCATATTTGATCAAATCTACAAAGAGCAGTTGCAGAAGGACAACAAAGCTACATGTGGCCCTTTCACCAGAGATTGCAGATCTCTGTTTTAGGACATTAGAAAAGAAAATAACATGTAAAATATCTTTTTTGTTGTTGTTTTTTGTTTTTGTGTGTTTACGGCAAAAGCACAACACCTACCCTATTCCGTTTTAGTCATGTCAGGCTGGCTACATCATCTCAACAGATTTTGTTTTAAAATTTTGACCTCCGAATTGTGTTATTTCTGTACTAAGTTTATTAGAATCATTCGAATTTCAAGTTCAGCCTGACCATGCAATATTTTAGCTATTTCTTTTACTGTATTCATAAAACTTCTAATGAGCAAAAAACACTTTAAGAAGTTTAATATTCTGTTTGTTTTTCACATTTAAAATGTATCAGTGCTTATCATTTATGATGCATTCATATTCAACAACAGTTCTAGATATTTTCAAATGTTTTCTCATTTGTAGTAAAATGCAAAACACTCATTTTAGAGTGATGTTGAATAACTTTAAATGAATCAGCATGGTGTAGTTCTCTGTTACACATAAATTTTCAAAGAAACCAAGTCTTATTTATAAAATTTCCAGAGCCCCCTAGGTAAATCCAATTATTTATTTCAGGATGTACCTGAAATAGAGTCATAGCACCAGTGATGGCTGGCCTTATTTCATTCCAATTGATTTATGTATGGTGATGCACACAGATAGACAAGACAATCTTCTTGAAACTCCCAAAGCAAATTTAGACATGAAGATCAGAAGTTCTGAAACCATCAAAATGTGTTTTTGATTGTAGGTGAATTAAAAAAAAAATCCCCCTTAATAAGAATTTTTGCATTTTTGCCAAAAATTAAAGAAATAAAAAAAAATACACAAAGTGGTATATACCTTATTCAAATGAGTTAAGTTTAGTCAAGCGATAAAATGAGTGAATCAGAAATGGACATAACCTATCACTGGTATAAATTGTTATATTTTGAATATTTCTATCCCATTGTAACTGCAACACACACTTCTTTAGACATTTGTGCAACATTTTAGCCTGTCTCAACATCTGATTCTAACCACTGCTTGATGTGTCCTACAGGTCAGTTTCTCAGAGGGAGGACCGGCATCAAACTCCACTGGCAGCGAGGTAGCATCCATGTCCTCTCAGCTTCCCGACACGCCGAACAGCATGGTATCCAGCCCCATCGAGGCCTGAGCAGCCACCCGCATGGATGGACTGAAATGAACGATCATCCCATTTCTCCCAACAGCACCAAGCAACCCCAATGGTTGTGTTTTGACACTGTGAAGACAATCATGGGATTTACCACAGCCACCCACTCGAAGGTCAATCCAGACAGACGGACATCTCATATTGAGTGGGACATCCCATTTGCACGCTTGGTTATAGTTGCCAAAAAGAGAGGACACGAGCTTGCTTCATYGAAAATGGGATCTCTAACTAGGAGCAAAATCTAAATCAGGAGTTCAGCAACTCTGAATAGAAAATGAAGACAATTTTTTTCTCAGTACATTCACCTCATATAACCTTTTGGRCTATTTGGAAAAGAACGGCACCTATTTTCTTTATGTAATTATTTTCCTTCAAGTTCTAAGGCATTTGCAACAAGGTATACCTCTTTATTGCCACAAGCTTCGTGGGATATTTGTGAGTTAGTGTTCATTGAAAAATAGGCATTTTTTTCTTTCTTTCCCAAAGACCTGTAAGTTAGATCTTTGAATGAAAAATGTAATATTTGTTTACATGCAACAGAATTATTTATTATTTATTGCCGATAAATTTGCCACCTTTTGTGTAACTTTCGTAACCGAAGTAAAAAAAAAGATTATAATAAAAATAGGCTGCAGTTTTCTTATTTTATTTTGTTTTTATTTTTTGGTATGTAAATTAAAGCAGGGAGGGATCATTTCAGATGGAAGTAAAGATCATAGGAAGCAGAAGAAAAATATTGTGGAAACTAATTTTATATAACCTACTGAGTTAGACTACATGGCATCAAACTTTTCAGATATAAAGATAATCTAAATGCTTCCAAATTTGTAAATAATTTTAATGACACATCGCGTGTTTTTCAAATCCATTCGAACTTGCGACCTGTCCAAGTTAGACCCGTCTCTCACTCGTTGACAGGATAGGTTCCAGCCTCGGCTCTGAACAAGTCAAAAATGGACACAGAAAATGAGTAAGTGATGCATTACTTTTTTATTTTTATAGTTTTTATTATTAAGATGAAATAATAACGATTTTTAATCAAATCTCACTCAATTAAACAAGGGGAATTTTTGTAACAAGTGAATAAAATATATTACTTTTTAAATATTTTCCAGTCAAAGATTCCTCAAAATATGTTCCACTTGTTTTCAAAAAGAAAAAAAAGCAAACATTTTACAGATAAAATTTGGTGTTACTTGAAAAGGTGGCAAAGAGGAAAGATATAAGTGTTGTTGGAAAAAAAAAAAAAAACATTTCTGTTTAACGCTGTTTAATTCCTCGAAACATCTTGTCACCTGCAGTTCTGCAAGCTTGTCAGCTGCTTCAAGAAAGACACATTGGAGAGTCTTACCTGAAAGTTAATCTATAATTAAAATTGAAAAGTAGAATTTATTGCAGCATTCATCAAATGGTGGCTTGCAAGCCACGTGGGGGGTGGATGAAGGGGAGGGGATGGTGGGGTTGGGAGAGATGGTGTGAAATGGAAAAATAAACGTGCCACAGTAAGGTAAAAGGCCAATTTTATCAATTTTGTAATGTTTAATTCTACCAGTTTATGTGAAGGTTAAATGAAGTCCTTATGTGACTATCAGACTAACATCTGATTTCTAAAGAATGATGCACAATTTGATGCAGAACTTACTACCTCACTCTTAAGGCAGATTTTGTGCCAATAAGTCTTCTTTGAATGGTAACTAGGTAAAGTTAAAATGTTATTCTGTTGTTTAATAATAAATGACTGATTGTGGTTGAATAGTTAAGAATTTGTGTTTGGTAAACACAAAACTGTAACTGTTAACATTTTTTTTTAAATCTGTTTCAAATGTTATTTCCCATTTTAACATTTGATTTTTCACATTTTCAAAAATCTTTCACCTCTCCCCCTTCCTGCACAGGGACTCATGCAAAATGACAAAAAATAAATAAAAATAAATAAGTTTAAAAATAAAGGACAACAAAGAAAACAATTTAAGTTAATATGAAAATAAAATATGGTGTCTGTGTACATGAAATATACAAATAGATAAAAATGAACCTTCATTAAGAAAGTAGTTTTCAAATGTCTCTAAAACAAAATGGCCCTAACATCTGTGCATCAAATAAAATGAGTTATTTGTGATGATTACCAAATGCTGTAAATCTCTAAGCTAGATGGGTGATCATAGACATTACTCCCTGAACATCATAGTTGATTGTGATAAGTCTTTACAAAAAATACCAGTAATACTACTACTACTACTACTACTACTACTACTACTACTACCACTACCACCAATACTACTACTACTACTACTACTACTACTACTACTACTACCACTACCACCAATACTACTACNCTCTTCCAGAAAAGAGACTGGTGTCTCTCTGTGTGGGCTGTGGGAACCAGATCCATGACCAGTACATCCTGCGGGTCTCTCCGGACCTGGAGTGGCACGCCGCGTGTCTCAAGTGTGCTGAGTGCAGTCAATACCTGGACGAGTCCTGCACGTGCTTCGTGCGGGACGGAAAGACTTATTGTAAACGGGACTACATCAGGTAGGACGGCCCGGGACGGGACAACTTTCATCCGACAAGAACTGGAGCGGCTCGGCAGTTGGAATTCTTATTTCTTTTTTAAACACATTTCTACTCGGGATGATTTTCCATCCCACGGAGTCCTGTTTTATTGTGATTTTGGTTCACATATTAAAACAAAAACTTGTTGCACATTTTCAAAGTCGCCAAGTAGTTCCTCATTTTAAGGTTCGTGTAATGCTTTCTGAAGGATGATGTGTTAAAAAAATAAAAAAATAATAATAATAATTTTTGAAAAGCGCCTAAAGCCTCGTGTAGCCCACAC